AGGCCCGAAAACTTGGTATCGAATCTCGAGACTCCAGTATTGTCCAGCAACCACAATCATCTGCCGGCTCGGCACCACGAAATACTGAACCGCCTTTGAGAAACCCGACCTCTAGGTATTCATCCGTAACAGAAACTGCGATAGTCACAGACTCGGCGTCTGCGGACAAACCAGCACTGTCAAGCACGGATCTTCTTGAGGATCTGGCTTCTGCGCTCAAAACAAGTACTCCTGAGAAACTGCTTTCAGACGCACTCAAATTGGATCCGAGCATTATGGAGGTTTTTCAGTCGCTTCTTGGAACTGTTGAGCCTGGTGAAAACGCCTCCGCCGAGACGACGTCTACCATCCTCTCACTTCTGACTGAGTTCGCCTCAAACGCCGGGTCAATGCAGGATAGCAATGATGCGTCCATACAGACTACCCTCCCGCTTGAACAACCCCCATCGGGAAGTCACAGTGGTAAAACTCCTCAACTTTGATGAAGGAAGTCTACATTAACACTGCAAGTAGCGCTTGTGTAATTCAACGACTAATTCATTTGTATAGCATTGTGTATGAATTTTTGATTAGTTCTGTATCATAGTCACCTTTAACCCTCTTGTATATACCCAGTGTGAACGCGTAAATGCCAATGTCTTTCTTTCGCCAAGAATCTTTTGTGCAAGCTTTATGGATCAAACAAATATTTATTTCCGATCACATCGGATTGGTGCTATTACGTGCAGATGACATGTCGACTTCACAAATCTGGCTTTTGCTCTGCGTGGACTGACAGAATTAGCAAATCGCGCGTTTAAAGGTTCAGGGAAGTAGTGGTTACCTTGGAGTTTTAGGGAGAGGTTAGTCTAAAGAAGTTTGTGTTGTATCGGCAACTCACCGGAGATATGTCGAGTTCACAGTCTTTTAGTTTCGTACCTGGAGGCAATTGGATGGAGTACTCGTAGGCATTTGGAATTGCTCGTGTTTGCATTAGTTTCCAGTGCGGTTGAGGTTTGATTTCTTCTATTAAGTTATTGTGATTTTTAATGTGGGACGAAATAGTGGGTGGGTGGGCAGGGCCTCCGTCTTTCGATCTAGTTGGCGAATGATTGCCAAAATTCAGGAAGGAGAACTTCTTATAGTTAAGAGACTCAAGCATTAAATCATCACTCCCATGTGACCGACTGGACCATTCAGTAGAGAACTTCGGTAGGTTATTCGAAGTTAATCGGTCTCCCTCCACAGTCTGGATATGCTTCTCGCTCTGCAAATAAAGTATTATCAGGGCTATTAGCTGGTCCGCGTCTAATAATGATTCCATAGAGTTAGGCCTATCCCTTGAAAAATTATATTGCTTAAAGACAGACGGATGCATTGCAACAGACACTGTTTCCTCTAAAATGGGTAATAGACTAGGTACTCAGCCTCAGCACCTGTATCCACCATATAGATATTTCCACAGTATAGGGGAATAGGATCTGCGCTTGACTTTGGGGCATTAATTAGATCCCACTCACATATATTTATGAAAAGTGGTCC